GGATTCTCATACTTTCTTGTTTACATGTTTGCAGCCAAAATTATTTAGTAAAATGTAGGAGTTCCATTCCCATGTTTTTATGAGCATTGTGCATCTTTGCAGGCTATGTCTTCTTTTATAAACCAGTTAGCTCCTCATGTTAATGGGTGATGTGGTCAGTATCATAGCTGTATCCTTTTTTTCCCCTAGAACATTTCCTTTTATCCAGTTTTAGGCTGTGTCAGCCTAGGTGTAAAAAACGGGAAATTCCCGTCTAAAAGTCACCTCATGTTTTAGCGATGGAAATGCCCAGTTGTGATCATAAATGTTAGCAGCGAAAATACCTCAATGTACCTTGTATTAGTGATGAGAAATGATAATCAATACCTAAAGGTCCCTTGTCTTATTCACCAGACATTTTGGTGAATATATTGTAAGGTCTCATGTGTAAATCACCAGAATTAATTATGGTGAAAATACTGTAAGGTCTCTTGGTAAAGTCACCAGAAATGATTTGTGGTGACCATATCTAAAGGTCGCTTGTCATAGTCGCTGGACATATTGGTGAAAATACCTAAAGGTGTGTTGTTGAAATTCCCAGACATGATTTATGGTAAAATACCCAAAGTCTCATGCTGAAGTCACTATAAATGATTTGTGGTGAAAAAACCTTTAGGTCTCTTCCTGAAGTCACAAACAGTCGTTTCTGGTGACAATATCTGAAGGTCTCTTGTTAAAGTCACCATAAATTATTTCTGGTGACAATATCTGAAGGTCTGTTGTTAAAGTCGCCATAAATTATTTCTGGTGACAATATCTGAAGGTCTCTTGTTAAAGTCGCCATAAATTATTTCTGGTGACAATATCTGAAGCTCTGATCAGCCATTAGAGAAAATTGTACAAATGATGGTTGCCTTTTATATACCTGTATAACTTACACTTGGTTTGTCTGCCTTGCTTGTAAACCCACATGTTATGTATGATCAAGAATAAGGATTTTTTTCTATACACTTGTAATTTAATTTTCTTTTTCTAATTTGTATTTGTTTGACTCTTTTGGGGTTTTTATTAAAGAATTTGTGGTATAAGAGAGAAAAAGTTAATGTTGTTGAGTTTTTTTTTTTTATATTGACACAATGAAAGTCAGTAGAACCTTTATTGTTGTATCGTAGTAGATCAGAAATCTTCTTCTTCTTCTTTTTGCGTTCACCAGCTGTACACTCTGGCGGAAAATTCTGGTTGCTCGTCCACTACTGAACTGCAGTCCTGCTCCAGAACCTGAGTGTTGCGTGTGCATCAGTTTTACAGATCTCATTTTCTTGAATACAGACTGTTGGTTCCTTGCCTCTCCGGCAAATGCACTCCGACTTCAAAGGAAGCTCCCCAATTAGTCGACTCTTACGACATGCTTTTGGGGAGGCAGTGGGTCTGTTCTTGTTTTCCCCACAATGGGGCCCCGGAACCCACACTGGGGGGAGCAGAAATTTAAATTAACAAATTAGAAAGAACTTGGAGGCGATGGAGATGTGTTTTTTTCAGACGTATGTTAGGAATCCCTTGGACTGCCAGAGTAACTAACGAGGATTGCTTGAAGGAAGCTGATGAAAGCAGATCAATATGCACAGCTATAAGGAAAAGACAAGCCGTGTTCTTTAGTCATGTGATGAATTGGGAGGCTTTAGAGAATGTTGAAATGACCAGGAATGAATGACCTGGTGAGTGATGTGGTCAGCATCACACAAGCTGCCTTTACTTCCCAGGATTTCACCTGGTACCCATTTCAGGTTCGGGTGCCATAATCGTCAGGACCTAAACCCATGACCTTCGGATTCACAGCCGAGAGTCTAGCCGCTACATCATGATGGCTCCCCATCTGTCTCTAGCTATCAGTAAGTTGCATCTTAACTCTTTCAGTCCCAGCATTTGATACTTTCTCCCAGTGACTCACAGAGTTGAACTTAAAAGCAGTTAACAGTTATGTCTGAACTGGTTCAACAGAGACCCCCAGAACGGAACTGGTTAAATTAGTAATCCAGACACAAAGGGTTAAATGTGACACGTGTTGGTAGTTTAAGACGGCGAGGACATTATATATCTTTGGAATTACCATGGAACGTAAAATGAGCGGTTTGGTACCAAATGAGTTAAATGCTCTTTCTTATTTTTATTTCACTACTGCAATTGTCTGCTGGAAGTTGGTGATGTCTAGCGGCAAAACGCTCGCCTACGGATCGGGAGGTCGTGGGTTCGGATGCTATTGAAACCGGACTTTTAAAAAAAAATGACCTTGGCTCCCAGGTCGACCCAGTCTTGAGTAGGTACCAGGTGCAAGCCCTGGAAAGTAAAGGCGGACAACATGATGCTGAGCCCCATCACGCACCAAGTGCTGATTGGTCTATAAGTATTTAGGTCTAGCCCTATATACCTAATGATTGGTCTATACAAAATATAGGCCTAGCCCTATATGTCCTAAACGCCTAAAGGCGTGGAAAGGGAACATTACTTACTATATGCCCAATACAGCTAAAGGCGTGGAAAGGGGACATTACTTACTATATGCCCAATACAGCTAAAGGCGTGGAAAGGGGACATTACTTACTATATACCCAATACAGCTAAAGGCGTGGAAAGGGGACATTACTTACTATATGCCCAATACAGCTAAAGGCGTGGAAAGGGGACATTACTTACTATATGCCCAATACAGCTAAAGGCGTGGAAAGGGGACATTACTTACTATATGCCCAATACAGCTAAAGGCGTGGAAAGGGGACATTACTTACTATATGCCCAATACAGCTAAAGGCGTGGAAAGGGGACATTACTTACTATATGCCCAATACAGCTGAAGGCGTGGAAAGGGGACATTACTTATATATGCCCAATACAGCTAAAGGCGTGGAAAGGGGACATTACTTACTATATGCCCAATACAGCTAAAGGCGTGGAAAGGGGACATTACTTACTATATGCCCAATACAGCTAAAGGCGTGGAAAGGGGACATTACTTACTATATGCCCAATACAGCTAAAGGCGTGGAAAGGCGACATTACTTATATATGCCCAATACAGCTAAAGGCGTGGAAAGGGGACATTACTTACTATATGCCCAATACAGCTAAAGGCGTGGAAAGGCGACATTATCGATATATGCCCGCCTACAGCTAAAGGCGTGGAAAGGGGCTATTGACTTACTATATGCCCAATACAGCTAAAGGCGTGGAAAGGGAACATTACTTACTATATGCCCAGGCACAGCTAAAGGCGTGGTAAAGGGGGACATTACTTACTATATGCCCAATACAGCTAAAGGCGTGGAAAGGGGACATTACTTACTATATGCCCAATACAGCTAAAGGCGTGGAAAGGGGACATTACTTACTATATGCCCAATACAGCTAAAGGCGTGGAAAGGGGACATTACTTACTATATGCCCAATACAGCTAAAGGCGTGGAAAAGGGTTGTTTTAATTTTACTTACTTACATCGCCTGTTATTATGTGTCCGAGATATGATAAACTTGTTACTTGTTCTAAGATCCATTCTAACTCTGATGGGTCACTAAGTTATCAATCGCTTTTTAGATATTGATTGTTTATAGATGACCGTGATTGTAACTAACTCACAGAGCATATTGAGAAAAGTGCAAACATATAAACTTCGTGCAGAGTGGCACGCATCACTTCAGAGGTCCCAGGCAGTTATCATCCTTTGGATATTTTCTCCAGGATATGCCGGTGTGTTGGGAAATGAGAAGGCAGATAGACTGGCTGGCACTACACCACTTCATGGTAAATTGATGTATGACAAGTTATATATTGTGAGGGCCCTTTAGGAATGGGTTAACAGTGCGGATAGATCATTACGGCCTAAGAAGAATGGCGCTGCGAGGAGTTGCCAGGGGATCTGGTTGACGCTCAACGCTCAGGGAAGGATGAGACAGAGATACAATCAGACGGTTACTGGTACCGATCGGAATTGGAACTCTTCAATAGCTGCTGAACATGGGAGACTAAGCACTCATGGAAATGTCCCGACTGCTGTGATGTTGATTCCTAATTCAACATCAACATTAACATGGTCTTTAGAGTTCTTTGTCTTCCCTTAGTCTGCCCTGGCTGCTAAAGATGAGGACGGAGCATGCATGGGAATGCTCCTAGTGCTGTGATGTCAATTCTTAACTCAACTCAACTCAGTTATTGTATAGCTCATAGTAGAGGGAACAGTATTATATGAAATGCATTGCTGTATCGTTGCATTTAAGAGACGCATTCGATTTCACCCCTTTCGTTTCCACTGTAAAAACTATTCTTTCACGCCTTCAGGTATATAGTATATAGGACTAGATATACATTTTATATACACATCGGCACTTGCTGGATAATTTGGTCAAATTCTTGCTGGCCGCCTTTACTTTTCAGGACTTTACCTCGTACCCAGTCAAGGTTCGGTCGACCTAGGAGCCAAAGTCATTTTTAAAAAAAAGTCTGGCTCCATCTGTAGCTGAAACCAAGACGGTCAGATCTGCATGCGAGCGCCTAGCCGCTACACCACGTCGGCTCCCGGTTTCCCCTGTGGCCGCTACATTATTGGGTGGAAACGTTTTGGCGAACAGCAAACGAAAACATGACTCAGTGCTGGTCAGTCATGCAAGTGATGGGTAGATGGAATATCGGAGGCCACAAATACCAGCATCAACGTAGCACATACCAAGGATCTCACTCTATGCCTTTGAGAACCTGACGCCGAAAGGCAGAAATAAGTGAGAAGAAGAAGAAGAAGATGAAGAAAAAAAAAAGAAAGAAGAAGAAAAGGAAGAAAAAGAAGACGAAGAAGAAGAAGAAGTGCTGGTCCCTAAGCAACAAGTTGAAGAACATTGCTGTATAGAAAACATTGTGGAATCTGGACTACAAGCAAATCGTGACTATTATAATTCTGCAAACGACAGCGCGTTTGATATCTGATTGTGTGGACAGTTCACTTACATAGTTTGTATGGATTAAATCTGTGACGGGAACAATGGAAGGTCACCCTCATGTTACCATAGGGCGGTTTCTCACGCCACGTTCTGTAAGTGCGACGCGAACGGGCGGGGGTTGGGAGGTAGGGGAGGGGGAGGGAGCTGTTGCAGATTCACACTAGACCGAGTGCACCAACACGAAGAAAAATACAGAGAGAGGGAGAGATAGATAGATAGATAGATAGATAGATAGATAGATAGATAGAGAGAGAGAGAGAGAGAGAGAGAGAGAGAGAGAGAGAGAGAGAGAGAGAGGGGTGAGAGGGGGGGGAGGAGGATCAGACCCTCACACCCTTTCACATAGTTGTAGCTGATGTCAGGGAAGAACCTAGAGGTACCTCCAAGTGCCACGTTTGAACATGAGGTTAAACGGAAACGAGAGATTCGTCGTGTGGGGTTCAATGCAGTCAATGCGTACAGCAATTGCAAGAGGCGCTATAGCCAACAGTCGCCGCCAGAAATGCAGTTTGTCGCTGATGGAAGCAGTCGGACTCGATAAGTACACACGTAGAATTATTACATAACGTATTTCACTAACCAACACGTAAATCGGCTACAGGCCATAATAAATGTCACGACCCAACCGCTGTAGAAATGAAAGGTATTCCAGGTGAAAAACACAGCTCACAGGGCTGCACCAAGCACTAAACTCAGTAGCTCAGTCCGTGAAACCGTAGATTACCGTCCATATGTGGAAACTGCATTAGCAAAATGCTGTCGGAAGCAAAACTAACTCCGAAGCTTAAAATTCTGCTATGCATAATCCGCCAATTTACAGGAAGATGAAATCCAGCCCAGCTCTCTTGTCCTCTTTCACCAACGTTCGTTGCAGTGATTTACTTGAATGTCTACATGTAGTCTGACTATGGGGGTAAAGGCGGTAACAAAAAGCAACGATGTAGTTAGAGACGTAATTTTCCCAAGCGCACTTTTTAAGTGATAAGAAGATCGAAACTGTGTAGGTTCTAAGATAATGTTGGAGTCTCTGGGGAGCCCGGCTTGCTGGCTCAGATGACTAAACCTGACGGCGCGGTGACCGGGTGACGAACTCTTTGTGGTCCTGGTTCTGGCCCGGGGGTAGGCAGAAAAGTCACATTTCTCCCAGATTTACGGTGTTTGTCATGGAATCAAGGCCGAAGGGTTGCGATATCCATAGTGCCGAGCCTAAGGGTTAACAACTCATGGCTTCTGGATACTAAAACAAAAATCTCTGGGGAAATTACATCCCCCAGTAGGGGCTGCATGGTCTAGAGTTATGGTGGCCGCCTCGAATGTGGGAGGTCCCGGATTCAAGCCGGGATTTTTTAACGTAGACCTAGTAATTTTCGCTGATTTCTGGGTAGTAAAATTGGACGCCCGTGTGCATTACTGCGCACGTAAAAAAAAAAACCTTTTGCAGTTGGAAATTGAAAAAAAAGTAGCCTAACTGCGCTGCCTGGGCAAAATTAGGAGTATTTCAGGATCTTCACCGGTGCTACGGAGTTCATACACTGCGATGCGATTCTTCCAACTCAGGATTGAGTCAGAAGTAGAACGAAGCACTTTGGGTTACTATCCTTGTGCCATGATGTTGATTTGTTGTCTAAATCTAAACGTCCCCCAGGAATCCGTTTAATTTTTAGACCAGAGTACTCTGAGGTAAAGATGGACACAGGATAAACGTGACTCCTTGAGTATGAAAGTACATGAGGTGGGAGAGCTGACAAGTGACATAGTTTTTTTCCAGCCAGACCGTGATGAGAGCAACGACCTGCTACATGATGATGATGACTCTGAAGTAAGAGGGAACAAACGAGCGGATTGGCTTGCTGACACAGTAGGTACAGAGCAAGCAATGAACTGGACTAATATTCTTAATGCTGCCAAGGCGGTAGGACGAGTAAATGATTCAGGAGACGACGGTGAATCGGCAACATTCAAAAGACACAACAACTTCAGGGCAAAAGAGGAATTGCCAGACATGAAAACTATACATGTAGCCAAAGAAGAGTAGTTTTAGAGAGAGTAGTGCCGTTGGGGCCGGCGTAATGCCACCCACCTAGTAGTGCCGGTTGGTCTGTAAACATCTGGATGCTCTTCCCATATGCCTGATGCGCCCAAGGCGTAAAAAGGGATCTTTACTATTCCTGTTTAGTGCCGTTCGTGGGGGCATCTGATCAACACTAAATACTTGTCGGAAAGACAAAATGAACACACAATTATTTGCTTTAGGTATTATTGATGTCAGAACTCCGCGCTGGCTGCTGAAGATGAGGTTTGTACGCTTACTTAAATGTACCGGATACTGTGATTCCGGTTCTTAACTGAACTTAATACTAGAGTAGACACAGCCCCAGTTTCAGACCCTTTCTTATTAAACACTTTATTTTCAAGTCCGGCAATTGAAAGTTAAGGTAACGTGACATCAGCACTATTTGAGCCAAGACGTTGAGCTAACAGGATCTTATATATACCTGTTATGTTATTTGTGTCACATCACATAAACTAGCTACATATATTTCCTCTTTTGTTTCTTTTTTTGGTAAGTTTTAGTTGTTGCAGCTGTTTAGTTTATAACTAACTACATTTGAAATGCACTGTCAATATTTGTTTATATATGATCTTAAGCATTTCTCCCTCCTTAAGTACGAGCATTCTTATAACAAAGTAGTAAATGTATTAATAGGTAAAAGTAGTAGTAGTAGTAGTAGTAGTAGTAGTAGTAGCAGTAGTATTAGTAGTAGTAGTAGTAGTAGTAATAGTAGTAATAGTAGTAGTAGTAATAGTAGTACTAGTAGTAGTAGTAGTAGTAGTAGTAGTAGTAGTAGTAGTAGTATTAGTAGTAGCTCAAACAACAATATCCTCCTGTTCAACATATCCTATTTATAATTGCGATATATCGAGTTAAAAAATGTTTTAATAATTGGTGTAATGATTTTTAATTGTGTTTTTTTTAATATTGTATAGCCTATGCATTAACTATACAAGATTGTAGAAGTATAAATGGTCACGTTGAATATTTGTTACGTGTACTTTCAAGCAATAGTCGGCCTCTGTGGCTAAGTCTATGCGAACGCTTCGTAATGCCGGGATGCCGGGTTCGATCCCAGCTGCGGGCCATGGGCCTTGCGTTGGTTTCGACAGTGGTATCAAGAAAGCCGACCGCCCAGAAAGCAATGGCAAACTACTGGACGTAAATTTGCCCAGGTTGGTTCTGTAACGTCCTGTAAAGGATACGCAACTAACCTTTTCAAGCAATTATACTAATCTGAACAAGGAAAACACAAACAATAGACTGCACAATTTATTGCCTGGCCTATTTCGCTGTATCTTGTTAGGTGCATTGTGTTAAAGATTAAAAAGTAGTTGTAGTAGTGGTGGTGTGGGTGGTGGTAGCAGTAATTTTGACGATGGTGGTGGTGGTGGTAGCAGCAGTGGTGAAGACGGCGGTGGTAGTGGTGGTAGTGGTGGTAGTAATAGCAGCAGTAGTAGTTGTTGTAGTAGCAGTAGCGGAACTACATGTATTATATCTATTACTAAACCAGCAATTCTGAAGTTTTTTTAGGTACGTTTACAGCCAAAATGAAACAGCTTTTGCTGATCGCCATCCTGGCTGTGGGCGGGACCATCGCAGCTGAAGTCAGCATAAGTTTCTCCCCGCCCAGAACGCTGACTTTTAGCCTACCAGGCAAGTATTTATTTTGTGTTCAGCTTTATTAATATTCGATTGCATATCATCTGCTGTCTTTTTGATGTGCTTTTGTTCTACCTGGAACGTTTAAAGAGAACACTAATGGAAAATATGATTCCTAGAACGAACAAACAAATGGACGAACTTGATTTCCAAAGGGGTCATACATTGGACAGGAGCCCGTCTTGCATTTAACCCTTTCCAACAACTCATTGCTTCACAAGTTTTTAAATGGTATAAATGGAATGATCCAGATACCAAGAGTCAGATTGATTACATCTTGACGAGAAAAAGAGAGTTTCATCAAGTTACAGATGCGAGAGTTATACCAGTTTTTTAAACTTGAGTTTAGATACAGATCATAAGATGGTGATACTTGACAGAAAAGTCAAGATAAGTTATCAAACAAAAAAGAAATGTAAAAAAAGTGACATAATAAAATGGAAAGAACTAGAGTGTGAGGAAAATAGGCGAGCGTTTCAGCAAAAATTACAAGAAAATTATGAACAGCTTCCACAAAACACTCTTGGGGTAAATACAGAATGGTTGAATTTCAGAGACACCACTATGAAAATAGCACAGAAAATATGTGGAACTAAAAGGATTGGTAACATAGGGCGTAAGCTCTCAACATGGTGGTCTGAAGAAATCAGAAGAATTGTGAGCAGTAAAAAGAAAGCTTATGGCATTTGGCTGAGGAGCAGAACAGAAGAGGATTACATAACATACAGGATAATTAGAAGAGAAGTAAATAGAACTATCAGAAAAGCAAAAAGAGATTCATGAGAAAAGTTTGGAAGCAAGCTGGCTGAAGAAGAAAGAACAGCAGTGAAAAACTACTAAAAAAAAAAATCAAAGGCATGAGAAACAGGAATGAAGAATACAACCCAACAGAAATTATAAATGATGAAGTTGGCCAACCTTAAATAGCACCTACCAAAATTTTAGCAAGGTGGACTAGTTACTTTGAAGCATTACTTAGCTGCAATAAAACAGATAAAAGCAGGGAAGAACATAAAAACAACTCGGAACTAACAGCAGAGGATCTAGAACCAGGTATATTATTGGATGAAGTAAAATATGTCATTCGAACCGCACCTACACTAAAGGCGACAGGTATTAATGATCTACCAGCTGAGGCCATCAAGGCAGCAGGAGAAACCGGAGCAATATGGTTAAAGATAATATTTCAGGTGGCATGGGAAAATCAAGAAACAACATCAGATTGGCAAACTGCCGTCGTTGTCCCAATGTGGACAAATAAAGGAAGTAAGAGGGAATGTACTACATTACAGAGGAATATCACTACTCAGTCACACTGGGAAAATGTATGCTAAGATCATCGACAAAAGGCTGAGACCATTGATAGAGTATCAACTTTCAGAAGCACAGATGGGCTTTCGACGAAACAGAAGTTGCACAGATGCCATTTATACATTGAGACAACTATCAGAGAGGGCAATAGAACATAATAAGACATGTTTGTTGACATTCATAGACCAAGAAAAAGCCTTCGATAGAGTCGACAGGAATATGTTGTGGGAATGTATGGGGGAAAAAAAGGAATCAGCAATCATCTCATTAATATTTGCAAAAGCCCGTACACAAGTAGTAAATGCTGCATAAGATCGAAGGCAGGGTTGTCAAGAACTTTTACAGTGAACTCTGATGTGCGTCAGGGATGTGTACTATCGCCGCTTTTTTTTAATAACATACATGGATACCATATGTAGAGAAACGAACTTTAATCATGAAGAAGATATTACAGAATTACTTTTCGCCGACAACCAGGTACTCATAGCAGAAAATACGGAATGCCTACAGAACCACCTAAATCAAATTAGTAACAAAGGGGAGGAATATAATATGAAAATAAACACTACGAAGACAAGAGACAATGATGATAGGAAGACATAAAGACAATTTAGAAATTAAATTAAAAAACAATACCCTGAGACATACAGAAGAATTTAAGTATTTGGGAGCAATTTTTACATCTGACGGAAAACTGGACAGAGAAATTAGCTCCAGATGTGCCAAAGCTAATCAAGTAATGGGTCAACTATCTCGCCTGTTGACACACAAGCAGATACCTCGGAGTACTAAAGTCAATCTCATCAGAACTATTTTGTTGGCCAAAACTATGCTATCAATGCCCAACGTGGTCACTTACATCCTCCAATGAACGTAAAATTGTGACCACAGAGATGAAATGCCTTAGAAGAGCTGCAGGAGTTTCAAGGAAAGCCAGAATACGAAATCATGAAATCAGACGAATGCTAGGGATAAAGCCAGACTTACAGGTCATCAAAGAACAACAAATAAAGTGGTTTGGACACCTAACAAAAATGCCCTCGTACTATCCGCCACAGCGAGCCAAACTAAAACGTTACAACGGGTATAGAGCGAGTGGAAGACCTCGGAAAATATGGAGTGATGGCATTTAGAACAGCCTTACAGAAATTAACATCAGTCTTAATAGTGCTCTTGACAGAACGCATCAACGAACATTACATCTCCCCCCGACACTTCGATGAGGTACAAGGTGGAAGAGAAGAAGAACAACTCATTTTTCACACAGCAATAGTATTTTATGAATCGATCTTTTATCAAGCCTGTTACATTCATATATGAAAATTCATAGTATAAATTTAAAGTAAAACTATGAAAGCACAATTTAACACTATTGTCTGGAAAAACGGAACAGTAGATGAATATTGAATTAAGAATTCGACATCATAGCACTCGAGACACTCCCATAAGCGCTGCCTTCCCATTTTCAGCTGCAAACGAAAAGTTCCAGTTCTGATGGCACTAGTAACTGTGTGACTGTACATCTGTCTCGCCTTTCCCTTGAGTGTTCAGCATCGGCTAGATCACCCTGGTAACTCCCCGCAGCTCCACTCTTCTCAGACGGCAATGATCTATTTGTGCCTCCGCACTGTTCATTTGCCTCAAAAGGGCCGTCGCAACAGTGCCAACATGCACTGGTTTAATTTATTATATATTTTCATATAAAATCTGATCCTAGGAATAGGAAATGCAGCCTGAAAATCTTATTTTATGGCAGAGCATGCGAGGCTTTTAGCCTTTGTTGGCGGCTGGCTAGTCTAGAAAGCAAGATCCGACTGGCGCACAGGCAGACCACAGCTCTTCTGATTTGGCAACTTCTGTAGCCTGATTTGTTCCAAACGCATTGAGATTACCTTCCATTTGGAGTAAACAAGGCAGGCACAGACACCCAGAGAGAGAGAGAGAGAGAGAGAGAGAGAGAGAGAGAGAGAGAGAGAGAGAGAGAGAGAGACAGACAGACAGACAGACAGACCGACCGACCGACAGACAGACAACAGACAGACAGAAAGAAAGAAAGAAAGACAGACAGACAGACAGACAGACAGACAGACAGACAGACAGACAGACAGACAGACAGACAGACAGACAGACAGACAGACAGACAGACAGACAGACAGACAGACAGACAGACAGACTGATAGATAGATAGATAGAAATAAAGACAAACAGCATACATACATACATACATACATACATACATACATACATACATACATACATACATACATACATACATACATACATACATACATACATACATACATACATACATACATACATACATACATACATACATACATACATACATACATACATACATACATACATACATACATACATACATACATACATACATACATACATACATACATACATACATACATACATACATACATACATACATACATACGTACGTACGTACATACATACATGCGTACGTACATACATCCACACACTCACACACATCCCACAGAAGCACACACAGACACATAGACAGACACACACACACACAGTCACACACAGACATACAGACACACATTCACACACACAAAATACGTACAAACACACACACGGACGCACATAGACACACGTAAAGACATATAAACACACACACGCTGCTACAGGCATAAACACAGCCACACATACAGACACACATACAGACACACATACAGACACAGACACACACTTACAGACACGCATTAAGACAACATACAGACGCAGACCTAAACACATTTACAAACTTATACAATTACTCATAAACAATGTCACGGATACACATAGATGTGCAACAATATACACGGGCGTCCAATCTTACTACCCAGAGACCAGGAAAAATAACTTGAAATCTACGGGGAAAAAATCCCAGTCTTTACTGGGGCTTGAACCCGGGACCTCCAGCACTCGAGGCGGACGCCATGCAACGACCACGCAACCGCCCCCCCCCCCCCTGTATTTATGTATTTTAGTATGATGATGATGACGTTCAACCCCTCCATGACTGCACAGAGAGCGATAAACACCAGTTGACACAACGTGGGGTGGGGCTTTACATGAACAAAAACAACTGCGTCACATACTCTGGGGAGGTCAGCTCTGTTTTAGTATTGGGAAGTATTAACATTATTTTGCACAACCCCATCAAGGTATAACATGCAAATAACAACATATTTTTTTTTCATGGATTCACTATTCTTCCTTTATTTCTTATAGAAAAAAAAAATAAAGATAGGAACCCTATGGATAAATTCGATTGGTGTAAGTCCGGTTGAGGAGCGGCTGCCCGAACGGTTAGAAAGCTGGGCTGTCAGGCGGAAGACCCGCTTCTGAATCCTTGGTGAGGCTATGGATGTTTTCTGTCGGGGGCAAAATAAAATTCTCACTTGCACAGTCGTGGCGACAGCACTAGCCATGTGGCCGTAAATCCTCAGGCTCAAAGACTGCATACACCGCAAAAGTGGTTTAATAAAGGTAATAATTGGTAGTTCTGGCAGTAACTCCAGTCTGGTTTACATCCGATGTTCTGAAACGGATTGAGCACGTATACTGTGGTAACAGTCTTCTTCAAAATAGAATTTATTTTATGTATAAACTGAGAAAACTTATCCCCATACAAACTGTTTGTGGGAAATGGGGCAGGGGGGGGGGGAGGGGGTGTGAGTGGGGGTCCTAAACGGATTCGGTGCGTATGAGTCCAGGCGAGCACTAAAAATCGGTCATTTATCAGGACATGGCACTAATTAATGCGCTTCAAGAGTGATGTCCTTTTTTTCTTTGCAGTTACTGACATAGGGAATGTGATCTTTCACTACTCCATTGGGCGCAGGGAATCCACGGCAAGCGGTGTCAAGACAGGTATGGTAGTGGTTGATTCTCTCTCTCTCTCTGTGGCTCTCTGTTGCTCTCTGTCTCTGTGTCTCTGTCTCTCCTTTCTGTCTATCTGTCTCTCTGCCTCTCCTCTCTCTGCCTCTCTCTATATAATATATATATATATATATATATATATATATATATATATATATATATATATATATATATATATATATATATATGTCCTGTGATTTTGCACACACACACACACACACACACACACACATATATATATATATATATATATATATATATATATATATATATATATATATATATATATATATATATATATGAGTTTGAGCGTATGTATGTGTTAGCATGCGCGTGGGTGCTTGTATGTGTCTGTATGAGTAGGAGTGCATGTATTTGTATAAAGGTGTATGTATGAGTGTGTGTGTGTATACATGTTTACGAGTGGGTGTGCTTGTATCTGTGTACATAATGAAATTCAAGAGTAAATGCATTCGTGTATATTCAGAATGTGTATTATTGTATATACTTGATCAGTGGATTCATTATTTCATTATGTATAACTGCAAATGACGGCTCTGTGGCTAAGACGATGCGAACGCTTCGTAATGCCAGGATGCCGGGTTCTATCCCAGCTGCGGGCCATGCGCCTTGTATAAAGTGGTATAAAGAGAGCCGACCGTTCAGCCCAATGGCAGACTACTGGAAGTAAATGCCTAGAAAAACCACACAACAGCAAGGAGCTGTCACAACAGCAAGGAGCTGTTGGGGTTGGTTCTGCAACGCCCTGTAAAGGATACGCAACTAACCTTATATCTGCAACCAAAAAAAAAAAAAAAAAAAAAAAAAAAAAAAATTTACATGCATTAATAAAAGCCTGCATTTGTGGTTCTAAAGATGAGTGCTTGGAATGGCTGAAACTAAGACAGGCCCGATGTGTGACTCGTTGGAAAAAAAAGTTCGTTTGTTCGTTCGTTCGTTTTCACTCATCATTGAATAATGAGACCAAGCGTATTATTTACAAGACACAAACACTATTCACAAAGCTAAACACACGATTACAAACAGGCAGAATTCATCTATGATCAGTCAAAATTGCCACACTGCATTTTCAGCTGATGAAATGTTACTTAATATTCTTTTTAGCTAGTGTGACGTGCATAGTTACGTATGCAGCAAGGAGCAGAACACACACATAAAATTATGTTTAATTTGGAAAAAATACTTTTGAGACAGCACTTTCCACATAATTTTCTGTAGTCCACGATTTTCCATGATTAACCTACCCACATCAGAATTGGCTGTATATAGCTTCTTACAAATATTCGTCTCAAATGGAAACAATTGCATTGCACAGAATACGTTTGTATTCGGTAAAATGTTGTTTTCATTTGATGTTTTCGACGTTTATGGATCTCCCCAGATTTCAGTCTCTGGTGTTCTGGATCAGTTCCACTGATGATTTTCCTACATGCCTCTTTCGTAAGCCATCCACAATCATTTCTGGTCTGCCTCTGCCTCCTCTACGAGCCATCTTTCCAGTCGTCACGACATTTTCCAGTGCTCCTTTTCTCATCGTATGAACATAGAACATTGTGTGCATCCTTCTGATTGTTGTATATAATGCCAAACTTTCATTAGCCATTTCAAGTAATCATTGTTAGTTATTCTGACAGTCCAATGTATTTGCATTATTCTTCTCAAGAACCACATCTCGGTTGCCTCCTCTTTTTAATCTGTTTGCTCAAATTCCAAGATTCACTGCCTTACAACAGAACAATTTACAACGCATACAATAATCAATGTACATTCTTCTTCTTCGCTTCATCTTTTACCGCTTCATGTATCGAAGGAGATATCAGGTTCTGGCTCTCGCTCTTTTGGACGGCTCGACCATAAACAGATCCTGCTGTTGTGGAGTTTCTCTGATGCTACCATTCGATCTTGTTCTTAATCTACACCTTGCTGTAAGTCCGTCTCCTCTTTTGCTGTATGCTTTCCATGGTTGAGCGTCACAATGTAATTTAGTTGGGCAAACCATTTGATTTGCTGTCTTTTAATGTAATTTAGAACTGGTCTTGTGCCGACCGTTTCCTCCCGCGACCTCACTTCTGCAGCTCTTCTTCGGTATCCCATCTCCATGGTTACTCATTTCCATGTCTGGTTTGTTGTAAGTCACCATGTATGGCACTGGTAGCACAGGGTGGGAATGAATATGACTTGTATATGTTTCTTTGTGCTGATCGCAATTATATTGTGCTCTATGAGAGAAGCTAGCTTTCTCATTACAGTGCTTGGTTTGCGTCACTGATCTTCGGCGAATGTTCTTGCCAGATATTTAAACTCGCGACTGCTGCTGAAGATGAGGACACAACGTTTATAGTAATGCCCCCAGAGTGCTGTGATGTTCGTTCCTAACATAGCTCACCCAGCTTAGGTGGTAGACCTTTGAAAACAGAGACCTTTTTTCCGTTTATATCTCCCACCTGTGTCTTGTTTTTCCCCTACCTGAAACTGACAGCCTATGGTTGGGAGTACACAACGAACGATGCTCATCTGGAGGGAGCAGTTGCTGTCTACGCGTACGCTGAGATCTACAGCCCTGAAGGGAAACATGTGGCGACCACAAAAAAGAGCGTTCACTATTTAGGTAACTGACGTCTTTTGTGTGTCATTGTTGTTTGCTTATCAGTTGTTCTTGAAGATCCCCGAGTGGGTTCCAGGCTCCAGCCCCACCTTTTTTGTAGAAGAAACAATTGACCAAATGCCGCCTCACAAGCATGGTGTCCAGGGTGTCTGAATTTGACTGAAAAATATGTAGTTTGACCAAAGAATTTGTAATTTGATCGAAAAACCAGATGTGACCCTTGTGTAGACCAAATGGACTTTAACTCAATGTTTAAAGGCAAACATAAGATATTTTGAAGTGAAATGCTACAGAAAAATTGTTAGAATACGGTAGACTAATAAGAAGACAAACATTGACATCCTACTTGATATGAACATTGAGGAAGACTGGCCCATAAACAGCACCCTGTCTTAAAAGCCGAAGTATTTTGGCCGTGTTAAACGTCATGGGTCGGTGTCTGTGGCTTAGTTGTTGCGAACGCTCTTCGTAATACCGGGATGCCGGGTTTGATTACAGCTACAGATGATTTGTTTTGCGTTGGTTTCGATAGTGGTACCGAAGGCTGACCGTTTAAGAAGCAGTGGCAAACTACTGAAGGTAAAATATGCATACAAAAGCCACAACAGCCACACATTTCTTGGTTGGTTTTGTACCTTTCTGTAAATGATCATCATTATCATGTAGCAGGTCGTTTGCAGAACGTTGCTCTCATCAAGGTCTGCCTGAAAATAACTCGGTTTCTCGCTAGCTCTCCCGTCTCATGTACTGTCATACTCAAGGAGTCACTTATATCCTGTGCCCATCTTCCTGTCGGTCAGTTCTGCCCCTCCTTTCTGGTACCATGCCTTCTGCTATAATTTTTTTCCCAATCCGTCGTGGCGCTTGATATGACCAACATATGTCAGCTTTCGAGACAGGATGCTGTTTATTAGCCAGTCTTCCTTCAGGATGCTGTTTATTATCCAGTCTTCCTTGATGTTCAGATCTTTAAAGATGTCAGTGTTTCTCCTCTTCTTTGCCCATGATATTCTGAGAATCTTTCTATAGCATTTCAGCTCAAAAGCCCCTATTCTCTTTCTTAAGGACTGGGAGATAGTCCACGACTCACATCCGTATGGTACTACAGGAAAGATGCATGCTTTCAAAATTCTAGTTTTGATCTCCTTGCTGGTGCTTAACCACATACTTTTAATGCTCTGTAAAGGATACGCAATTAAAGCAACATGGTGGCCTAGAAGAGAACGGTGATGGGAGCTGAATTCTCAGCAAAACAAGGCAGGGGCCGACCTCAGCGAAGGTGGATGCAATACAGAGAAGATACATTGGCCATGAGACCACGCAGGGCTAGAGAATCGGCTAGAGTAAATTGTACTTTCAGGGTGCTTGACGAGAGCGACGTTCTGTAAAGTATCTGCGCATTGTTGAGGATGTTTAAACCACAAACCAGCCTGCAATCTCCCTTTCCGGGAGAAGACAATAGTAGAAGTGATTTCTGAAGATACAAATATTGTCGTTCGTAGGTTTCAGGGAAAAAACAAACTTTCTGGTGATTGTCAGTTTTGTACGGATTATGCATAATCGTCACAGATTTGACCAGTATACCAGGGTGTACCAAAAGTGTCAATGTATAGGAAAAAAAAAAGAATCGTTGCAAATTGCAATCGTTGCATATGGAACCTCATGGGACATCCTGTAGATTTATGTTGAATATTGTTAAACATATTTTAAGAAGAGGAGAAATACTGACATCTTGAATGAACTGAACATCAGGAACACTTGGCTGATAAGCATGAAATAGTTTGTTCTTATCAAGCGCCACGACGGAGTGGAAAAAATAATAGCAGAAAAAATGGTACCAGGAAGGAGGGGCAGGGGCCGACCCACACGAAGATGGGCACAGGATAGAAGTGACTCCTTGAGTATGAAAGTATATGAGGCGAGAGATCGAGTTTCTTTCAGGCAGACAGTGATGAGAGCTAGTTTCTGAAAGGACCTGCTACATGATGATGATGATATTTTAAACGTACATTGTAAGTAATAGTGATTATGATACTGTGCAATCAATCTGTGGTAATTTTTTACAAGTAAATGTGATACCAGTATTTTGTCGTGTGAAATATTAACACCTCATATGCACCTTATGTTCTTGTCCCTATCATTGATGTAAAGGTAGAAAGAATGCTGGTTTATTAGGACGGACACCATTAAGGTCCATTCGTGGAGCGGCCTTTTTCAGAGATGACTTCACTACTTTCAATAAAGGCAACTGGAACTATGAGGTTTCTATGTATGGAGGATATGTAAGTATTCTAGAATCAAGAATTTTTTTTTGTTTGGGGAAAAAAAAGAGGGAAAAGGGGGTGGGGGGGGGGGGGGGGAGGCTAAATTGTTTGAAATGATAATATTATTTACATCTGTAAGAAAAAAAGGAAGTTCCTTTGTGTGTGTGTGCATAATGAGAGAGATTACAAGCAATTTTTGCGACCAAGCGAAGAAGAAAGATAAGAATAAAAAAGGGGGTGGGATAAACAGTAAAAAATAAAAAATATTATTAAAAAGAAGATGAAGCGAAAGAAGAGAAAAGATGATGAGCCTGAGGCGGGGAAGGTGGTGGTAGAGGATGAGGATAGAGAGAAGGAGGAGGAGAAAGAAGAAGAGGAGGATGAAGACGAATAAGATGCAGAAAAAGATGAAGATTATGAAGAACAGTAGAATAATAATACGAATAAGAAGAAGAAGAAGAAGAAGAAGAAGAAGAAGAAGAAGAAGAAGAAGAAGAAGAAGAAGAAGAAGAAGAAGAAGAAGAAGAAGAAGAAGAGAAGAAGAAGA